AACAACTCAGCGATTGCACTGCATTCGATAGAAACGGGACACAAAATCGACTTTGATAAGACTAAGGTTTTACAGAAAGGTTTTGGTTCATATAAAGAAAGACTGACTGCAGAAGCCCTACATATATGGGTGAATCCCAACAGTTTGAACAGACGTGAAGGTGTGATCGTAGCTGATGCATGGCAAATCCTGACTAGTAAATAAATTGGATATGTATCAACAACTAGTCACACTTGATCAAATTCCCGATGGTCTACGTCTTCTTATGGAGAGATTATAAAATTTATAAAATTATATTATATTTGTAAAAAATCTCAATTATTTTGTAACTATCCGGTCAAATCTTGATCACAGCTCATATGAGAATAACAAATGTTTTATGACTGTTCACCCACACACATACACACACACCATTGTATACTGCATATACACATATATTTTAACAAAGTAGACTAATTTTGAAAGTCTGAGGTCAAATTTTGATCACAGTTCATATAAAAATTTTTGTTTTGTTTTGTTTATTATACCTATTGATAGCTGTTTCTTGATTCACATGACAGGACAAACAATTTAAAACAAGAGATGTACTTTTATATATAAACATACTATTTTATTTATTTATTATACATGTTGATGCCTGTTGCATGGCTCATGATTGGACAAAGTTTAAAAAACAAGAGTTGTTCCTTTTATATATAAACCTCTGTTATGTTAATTTCGATTAATTTCCCTGAAGAAGTTCGGACCAGATTGCCGAACGAAACGTTGGAATTAATCATTTCAATTTCGCTGAGATTTTACAAATATAATTTTATAAATGTCAACTTATCTGTAATATAAAATAGCATCCGAAATAAGGTTTCTAACTATGAACTGATATCAGGACATTTATGCAATGTCTTGTTTTACGATTTTAGTGATTAATCTTTATCAGCCTTCAGTTGGATGACGATGAAAACTGCTCACTACGGATGTAACATCATACTTTGATTTGAAGTCGTATATATATATATATGTCACAGTTGGTGGTGTGTACCAAGACAAATCAAGGAGGACAGTGGAGGGGTTGGGGCGGCAGTCGTAAACACGTAATCATTCCTCATACAGAGTGGAGAAATATGTCAGTAAAAGGAAATGAGGAAAAAATATATATGAGTAAAATGAAATCACCCATATAATAATTTTTCAGGTTTGACTTTGCAAAATCAAAATCTGACAAGGGTGACTTAACAAAACGTGAAATTTATTCCTAAGCTCATAGATGATCAACCAACTCGTTATATGCTCTTATTTTCCTTATTTGATAGGCAGTTTAACATTCCGGATAGGCATATGCTTCCCTTTGCATGGTTAACTAACTTCCGATTATAAATATCCATGATTAATGGTATAGTAATAGTTTCAAAGGAAAAAAACATGCCTTCAGCAGTGCCGCAGAAAGTGCCGCAACGGACAAAATCTTTCGATTCTCCTCAAGTATTCCGGGGCTGTAGGTATTAAATGCACTGAAACCCAATTTGTGAGTTGAGAATGAAGCAGTTGGCAGTCTTTCTTTGTTCTGATAACTGAATGTCTTCAGTCCCACCTTCATTTAATGAAATAATCTTTGTCTTCATCCTTCCCCCTCTTCGTTATGATATAATCCTGATCGTCTTTTCTTTGTATGATTTGAGTTGAACTCACTACATTGTTACTTAGCGTATTCATGTCTTGTTTTCATCACGTAACTGCTTTGCCATTGTATCCTTCTTTGTATAAGTGTGTGAATTAGTGTAGTTTCTGAGCACTGTCTATTATGTTTGAAGACTCTTGTCAACTGACATAATGTCAACCACCCTTCCAAGTATGTTGAAATTGTTCTGTACAGAAACTCAATAATTACTTTAGACTGTATTTCACTGAAGAGAAACCGACAAAATAACCTATGGTAGGTACTACCTTATTTTGCACAAAATTTGATTTGATTTTTTTGATTTATTTTACTGGCTGTGGGTTTGAGTCTCAGAGAGGATAAAATGCACGTCCTCGGTTCCAGGACTAGCTGTCACTAATTGAATAAAATTGTGTTTATTTTAGTGTAAGTGAAGACAGGAGTAAGACAAGGCTGGTTGGCTGCATACTATCTCAAATGATTTTCCTGATTCTGGTAGACTGGATAATGCAACAGACAGTGGGCAACGTGGAAACAGGCATAAAATGGACCCACAGAAAAAACTTGGAGGATCTGGATTTCTTAGATAATATATATATGTCTGAGAAGATAGGACTTCCCGTGAACATAGAGAAAACAGAGGTGGTGATGAAGATTCCTGGCCAACAGTGACAGCAACAACAACAGACAACAATCAGAATAAATGGGAGAAATCTGAAAGAAGCAACCTCCTTTAACTACCTAACTATTCACCTGGAAGCATCGTGTCAACTACAGGTGGACGGAACTGATGAGGATATCAAAGCAAGAATTGGGAAAGCAAGACAAGCTTTCATTACTCTCAAGTCTGTGTGGAGGTCAACAGTCAGCACTCAGCATCAAAAATAAAATCCGGATTTTCAACTCCAATGTGAAGTCAGTGCTACTATACGGATCAGAGACTTGCACTGCGCGCAATACTCAAGATCAGATGGCCAGCCAGAAAAGATCAGCAACAGGGATGTATCTCTGGTAGCGAACCAAACCATCAGGAACGGACTGTGCAGCAAATACGCAGGAAGAAATGGAGGTGGATTGGTTATACTCTGAGGAAACAAACCATTAAATGACATCACACGCCAGGCCATCGCTCGAGTGGAACCCGACCAAATGGGAAGCGGCGAGTTGATCGTCAGTGCGAGAGTGACATGGGGGGGGTCATACGAAGAGGAGATGAAAGCATGTGGGAAGACGTGGAGCCAGGTGAAAACGTTGGCAGAGAACATTGCGGCTGAGGCCATATGTTCCTCTAGGAGCTAAAGGAAACAATTAATCTAAGTGTGGAACTTGGGCATTGTGGTAGAATATAATTCCATATTACATCTCTTATTATTAAAATCAAACTGTCAATTTTTATTAGCCTTTCCTACAAGTTCTGTTTAGAATATTTAGAATCTTAGTGTGTTTGGAACCAGAAAATGTTAATCTACTCTGAAAGTCACAGTATTTGTCACCAACCTGCAACCAACACTTGAAAATTTTGGGAATGCCCATTACTGAATGACTACAGCACAAATTTGCCTGGGTTGTCAATAAAAAATTCCCAGTTAACAGAAATTAGAATTCATGGGATATTGGGTTCTTTCCCAAACAATGTTAATGGTCAGCAGGCTTGAGTCATGAATCGAAGCTTCTCTGTTCTATCTCCAGTGGTGTCATGATTTCTTATTGCTGAAGATGCACAAATAAGGTCGAAACAGCTGCATAGTGCTACCTGGTTTTCAATTATTCTTAATGAAATACTATGATCAGACTAGCAAAATCAACATTTTTCATATTACTTTTCATGTGTCATCCTAAGAGAAGCTATATATCAGTGAAGATGTATTAATAAGTATCAAATTGGTGAGGAATATATTTCTTAGCTCAATTTCTACGTTTTTAAGACAAAGCATACGTTGTGCGGTTCTCTATTACAGACCATATTATTACTGGGATTAAGAGAAATAATACCAGTCTTGCTGCTTCCACCACGCTTGTATATAACAAAATCTATAATTTAAGTTTGATCTCTGATTGAGAATGAGTGATGTTTGCCATTTTGGGCGTAGGGACAAATACTCAGTGATGACATTGACGTCTGGTGGTCACTCTAAAATCACGAGTTGGTAGAGGGTGAAATCCATGGGCAATTAGATTAGGTCCCAGTGGCTGAGAATGGTCTACAAACCTGTCCCCTAACCGGAAGGTCCTGGGTTTGAACCCTTGTGGTGGGTAAGAACTGCAGAAAAGTCCCAAACTAGGCCGCGACATCTGTCCATTACTGCCTGCCAGTTTTCAATGGTTCAATCCGTGATCATGCTTCAACGAAATGAAATCCTTATAGAGCAGCTCTACGAAACTACAATTTGCTTGCGATGTCATTGATCAAATAGAATAGTTTACTTATCTTCAGTCAACTGAAACTTCAGTGAATTCCCTTGCAGTAAATGGAAATAACTTGATTGACTTGATTGCTGAGGTTTCACCAAGTTTGGATGTAGCCTAATAAATTGCGGACTCAAATTGCAATGGCAGGCTAGTGAGTGTGGTCGTTCCACGACCCTTCTATGTACAAGTTTGCAGGGATTCCATTGATATCAAGCTAGTTCACCTATTGGTGTCACCGTTGAAGATCTGAGAGGACCGGACAGCTGTTTCGTACTAGTTTAGGATTCCCCAGAAATATCCACCCTCCATTTAACGAGGAGATTACTTCTGACCATTCAGTTTATGTGACAGAATCTAACGCCGTAAAAAATTCAAATTTCACAGTTGATAGCACAGTTATCAGACACTGTCATCGAAGAGTGTTCCTCTCCACCCGCTGGCTATGAAAACTCACTAGGACTCCGGAAATTCATCTTGTATTTAGTCATAATTAAGCATCAGATTAATCTAGAGATTTGGTTGATCTTAGATTTGACCACAAACTTACATCAGACACAGAACGAATAGGTTCATGAGCAAACGATGACCGATGGGATCAACTCGGCTGAATATGAAGAAAGCTGGTTGGCAGTTGTCATGCATAATGTGAACCGTGAGCAATGAGAATTCATAGACCATTCCAGTTGCTGAAAGCATCACCAAGCTTGCTTCATAAATTAAAGTTCCTGTTCTCTGTCCCAGTAGATCCGTGTGTTTGTGACCGTCATGAGTACCAAGGGATTAAGAAACAGATATCCAGTGCTCCCCGGTTCTCAGTGCCCTATGATTAATGTCGAACTAACTTGAAATTCTATATATATACTTGAACATGCTAATTATTGATTTGAAACAAATTCGTTACGTAACACAAATATATACTTTAAAAAACAATGAAACTTACCAGTGCAAATAATTGAGAACTAGGCCTTTTCTGTGTATTTCTTGAGAGTAATTTTTCTACAGGTTCAACTAATTCAAGTGGCATACGACACACAGAAGATCTGAATGCTTCAGGAATCTTAATGGTACAAGAAAGGGTGAAAGAAAGAGGAAGAAATTAACGGTGTATATATTAGAATGACAATTTATAACGACATTTGTGTTGGTACATGTATCGCGAAGTACACGACTTCAGTGTAGGAACCGCGTATTTGCCCTATGTGCTCACATGTATCATAATAGTGCCTCAAGTATTTGACATTAACGAGCAAAATAACGGCAATTTTAAGTTAACTGCAGTAATATTGTATTGTGCTCTACTGACAAGATCTGGTCAGTAGAATTCTCTAGGTGCGTGATATCTTCTGCAAGAATATATTGAGGAATGGAATTACAGATTAGGCTGAGAAGAGGAGAAATGGGAGATCTATGTTCGTAGACCCGATCCACTAGCCAACCTATGAATTCTAATCTCTGCCAACTCATGACATAGCGCGAAGACTTCACAATATCTTCGTCGATGAGTTACTGCCTGACCCTCAACCTGCTGTACCCTACTGGTCGCGGCCTACTGATGAAGAGTCCAAAACCGGGACAAAACAGCTGTCCAGTACTCCCTGTTGATTTTCCAATGGTTCTCTAACTGATATCAGCTCATGATGAAATCCTCCAACCAATCAAATAAAATCCCTACAAAACCAATACTTGAAAATATCTGTGTTAGACAATATACGAATACCATACACTAATGGAGATTTCAACGGAAGGAAGCTTTGGATGTCTTAGTCTTCGAAATCTGCAGACTTTTGAATATTCATCAGAGTGGAGACAGCTACACCGAATGTGATGGCGAGATACGATAGTATTTGACAGCAGAATTTTTATTTGATGAAATGATGTACGTTTTTGACGAAATGGAATAAAAAACTTCTACACTGAAATCTTCATTCGCATATTTTCATTTTGCGCCCCTTTTTGTCTTTAAATTCACGCCTTCTACAAATATAGTTTCAAAAGGATGTCTGATTTCTCGTTTTCGTCAATATAATCTGTTGTAGTGATATTCAAGATTCTTGCAGGAAACATCATGCACACAAGCTTACACTGCTTACGAAATCTTGTCAATAACATACTCTACACTATTAACATTTTTACTGTGTAATGACTATCATTATTATTATTGTTTCCTTTTATTTCTAGAGGAACGAAGGGCTTCAGCCGCTTCAGGCCTTCAGACAAGGAATCTGAAACCAAGGAAACACCTGAATAGGTCCAAGTCGCCCCCAAAATGATGCTGATATTGAACGTCGAATTTAAAAGTGATACCGAAGCAGAAATTCTCCGTAGACGGCTTTCGAAGTCTCTTAGCAAAACATACTTCGCCGCCAGCCTACGAATAACATTCTCCTGCAAGGAACTATTCACCCAACACACGAAAGACAAGCTGTCGCATTGGGCTACTTCAACATGCATATACAAGTTCACTTGCTCATTTGGAGCTGAGTACATTGGCGGTACCATGCGTCCGCCTGTAAAACGCGCGCTGGAACACTATCCAGCATGGCTATCAAAGGGAGAACACAAAGGAGTATACAGTTCGATAACAGAACATCCGGTAAATTGTGGACATACAGCTCCATATGAAAAGTTCTTCAAAGCTATATATACGATCCGATTCAACCTACCAAAGGGAGTAAAATCAAGACATCTAGGAATAGCTGAGGAACTGGTGATCCAAAAACTCAAGCCTATTCTATGTGTCCAAAAAAAACGTCCAACCGTTGTCCCCAACGTGGCTATCATGAAAAGTCAGTCTCATCAATAATGATTATCCTATTACCTTTCTTGTACAATCTTTTCATTTATTTCTGTAATATTTACTTTTTTCTTAAATCCCTATCTGCATTATTAGATTTGGTTAATGTTTTCATCTTTATATGTCCGAACTTCCTACCCATTTCGTTAATACTACATCCTTAACCCGTAATTATACAAACTGACTAGTTTTCTAGTAATTATAATCCTATTTTGTCTTTTCTACCCTATCTTCCTGATTATTACACAGTATATTTTTATTAATTTGACCTCTGACCGGAAATAATTCTGGAACTTTCTCACACATATAATATAAGTACAAGAATGTACAGTGGTGGAGTTGATGACTTCGTCGAAAAGAAAATTTCCTTCGCTGCAACCGTCATTTTAGTCATTTTAGTAATGATCCAATATGTATATTCCGTAATTAAGGGAGCTAGTTGTATGGAATAAGAATATATAAAATATATATATATATGCATAGATATAAGAATAAAACTTGTGCACTGTGGTAGAGTGTACTTCCATTATGGGTAAATTTTGTTTTGATAAAGTCTCACAGAGTTATACAGTAATGTTTACTGATGACCAAGTTTCGAGCACAATTTATTGCTCATAATCATATCAAGGTAATCACACGACTTCCTAAATTCATTTATATAATTCCGTTGTTTTCCAATTGATTTGATTGGTAGTAATATTTTCCATATTTCGGGTATGAGTGATGAATCATTCCTATCCTCACTCGATGAACAAGGATTCAGTAATCAACCTCTCTCTTCACCTACCTAGATTACTTTTTAGAATTTTAACCCTCTCTCACCCTATTGTGTGGTTGTGTGTTAATGTATGCAGTGCGATTGTCGAGCTTTTTTCTAAATTACTTATCTTCTCGGGGTCAACCATTCTTACCTTAGCTACATTCTTATGTTCTGACAATCTGACTACCCCTGACCTACTAGTTTGACCTATGTAGTTGACGCAACTCACAGTCATTGCAGGGTATTTTGTAAATTATATTATTTTCTCTAATTGGGTCCACTGGGTCCTTTAACCTACAGAGCTTGTCCCTGAGTGAGTTTGTAGGTAAATGCCACCCTAATTCCTGCTTTATTAAGAATCCTACGTAGGGTCTCAGATGTCCCCTCTTTATATGGTATAACTGTAGATGACTTATATTCTCTCTTATCACACTAGTTTCACAATTCTTTTTATTTTTATTTTGGTCTTTTTTAATCTTCCTAATGAATTTTAAAGGATAGTTAGTTATTTAACACCAACGCCTCTTCTATCTGTTATATTTCATCATTAAGGTCTTTTTTGTGCTACTTAGTGCCATTGCTCGGTTTGTTAAACACCTAACTAAGCCTGCCTTAACACTTAACGGGTGATATGAATTAAAGTCTAACGATCTGTCAGAATGCGTTGGTTTTCTATAAACGCTAGTGTGCAGTTTACCTTTTTCTACTCATTTTATTTTACAATCTAACATAGCTGACTCTCCTTGTTCATTTTCCGATTAAAATGTGAATTTTATTCCCTCTACTAGTGAGTTTATGTGTGTCGAGAAGCTAGAGATATGTTCTGCTTTTAACACTGTGAAAGTGTCATCCACATATCTCCACCATATTTTTGGAGTAGGATTGAACGTATTAAGAGCCATATTTTCCCAGCTATCCATAAATATATCTGCTACGATAGGGGAAACGTCATCGGTAAACATTACTGTATAACACTGTGAGACTTTATCAAAACAAAATTTACCCATAATGGAATATATATGCATACATAAAAATCATTTATCAGTGTTATAAATCTTACATCTGAGCTTTGACTTAGTTGTATTGCATGAATAAATTCTGCACTGTTTTCTTGAGCAATATTCTCTTTACAATTGAGTATCGCGTCAACACTTGGATAGGCATCATTTTCAACGCCCAGCTTCTTTATATTCTGTGACCATTGCACTGAACCTTCAGCTGGACTACCAATATTATACAGTGAACAAATAATCAAACCCAATGAAAACATATCTGACCATGGTCCAGGAAAATCATCATTTTGATGTGGTGTAGTTGCTGGATGGGATTTCATCGACTTCGATGTAGCTAAATGATCTGGACTGTTGCTGATGCTGTTGTTGTTGATGCTGTTCTTATTCACTGAATGATGCAATAAATCTGTGGATGTTTTATTCCGTAGACCAGAGAATGGATTTAACATGCTTGTGGTTAGAGTGAAACATTCTGGTGCAGAGAAATGGCAGTCAGGTCGTGCCATTTTTGGCCATTTTCTTGTCCATGGTGAAGGACCTAGTTCATACTTTGTAGACAGATTTGAAAAAAAAGTTTGAAAGAAAAATGCAGAGAAATAAAAGAGCAAATTGAGTAGTCACCTTCATAAGTACGTGTAATATAATTTTAGATAATCAAATTTTTAAACATGATCCTTATTTCTAATGAATAGTGCTGAGAAATTACGCTTATATAACTTATACCCAGAAGGTTCAAGTTGGAGAACCATTGAAAACCACCAGGGAGTAATGAACAGCTGTTTCAACCCAGTCTGAGACTCATCACCAGTACGTACGCACAATCAGGTTTCGAACCAAGGAACTAACAGTTAAAAGGCCGATTCAATAGCCTTCAATTTTAACTTCTACCAATTCGTGGTTTTAGCACAACCACAATCCAATGTCATCGGTGGGAATTCCATTCTGACTTCCAACTGGATGTACCTCACTGGTCATGACTTCTCACTGGAACACCAGGCGACTTCGTCCTCTAGCCAGTTACCAGTGAACATCATATTAATTTTCAAGAATTGGTTTGTAGGGATTCTATTCTATTCTAAGTTAGAAGTTAGAATTCATGGGCTGGCCATTGAGTCGGGTCCCAGTGGCTGAATGGTCTACGAGCTTGCCTTGTACACCGGACGTCCTCGCTTCAAAACTCAGTGTAAGGTACCGGCGGTGAGTTCTGAACCAAGAGAAAACAGCTGCCCAGTCATCCAGTGATGGTTTTCAATGGTTCTCTAACTAATATCAATCTGTCGTCTAACCTGAAAGAATTGATTCCCTCCACATATCTCACGTATGTGGTGATTTGTATTTGTTCTGTTGGTTTAGGTGTATTTCATCATCTCTGTCTTCTCTAGGTTCACTTGAAATCTTGACTTCACTTCATTTACTAGTCCACTTGCTTACTGGTCAGTCCTAAGGTCGTGAAAATAGGGCGGATTGGACAAGAGCCAGGTGATTCTACTTCGGAATATCAACCTGATTGCGACAGAAACTTCAAAGCGCATGGAGTCATTGCCTGGAATAAGCATCTTAATCGTGGCAATTTTCACATAGCCATCACAGTATATGGGATATCACAAGAAAATATATTATTGAATGATAAACTATAAGTTGAGCTTGTACGGTAAAAGGAATAGTGTGTTGTTAGATGGTTGGGGATTTCGTCATGAGCTGACATCGGAGTGCTAGACAACTGTTTCGTCAGCCTAGTTTGGGACTCTTCAGTAGTACGCACTCACCGTGAGGGTTCGAAACCGAGACCTTCTGGTTACAAGGCGAGCTAGCCACTGGGACCCAAACCAATGGCCAGTCTTTGAATTCTAACTTCTGCCAATTCATGACATAGCACGACCACTTCGCAATATCTTCTTCAATGATTTACTGCCTCACCTTCAACCTGATGATTTAAAGTAATCGGTTCGAAGCCACAGACCTAAGTTTCTTGCTTGTTAGCAAGACGTGCCAGTAATTTTGAAAAAAATTTCTCTTCATGGATTCGAAATTGGGTCATGCACTGAATCATTAAGAGACATTACTGCCAAGCTAATCAGCCTAGCGATTGACGTTCTGTACGTCTTTGAATGGAAACTAGAGCGTCACTAATGTCATACGTCTAATCTTTCCTTTGTTTCCCTTTTTGGCCAGGATTACCATCAACTAGAAAACCGGGAGACATGAAGTCTAGGAGTAAAATTCGTCAGCCCCAAGGAATCGAACCATTTAACCTCTTGCCCCCTCCGCCTTGATAATTGGTAAATATCTCATGCCGCTGAAACACCAACGAAGCGATAGAAAAAACATTTACGATGAATCACTTTGTGTATCGTTTGTAACAACCTTCAAATGCCCTCCCCCTCGTCGCTATAATGTCCTAAGAAAAACCAACAAAGAAGCAGACAATACCCTATGTCAATCAGCATACACATTAGAACAAAAATCATGTGAGTACGCTTCATCAATCATTCTCCTTGAAAATAAAAGGTCTATCTCTCTCTCTATGTCTCTAATTCCTTTCAATGACAATCAACTCAGGGAATATTTCCATATCGTTCACCATAAAATGAAAAATCCCATTAAGTGACTTTCCTTTTAGAATTGAAATTTCATTTTATTCTAAAGTTTTTATTTTTTTATTATTTTGGTGTTTGCTTCATTAGTAAAACTTTGATTGACATTAGAATTTTCAGAAGAAAGACCGAAAAAACACATAATTGAAAAATACCCTCCAAAAAAAATTAGGCTGCGATATGTATGTGAGGTCGTTGTTCAATTCAAATTGACCAGTATTAGTAGTATTGTTAGTAGTATAATTGATTCCACATCAATTCACTATGAAAACAAAACAAACATTTCAATGCACTTAAACAACTAGAACAACTTTGATTGTCAATTTTGTTTTAATTGTTGTTTCATACCCCTCCTCCACAAAATAAATAGGTATATAAACATGATCAATGACCTTGACCCTTCTTCTTCGTTCATATTTATTTTAAATTTTACTCCTGATATGGTGGTTGTTTGTTCGTTTGGAAAATAGAATTGGTTAAACAAGGGGATAAAACAAGGAGTTTTTAGATTGTTTTTAGAATGATAATAATAATAAAGTAAAGGAATTCATTTTATGATAATCCTTGTAAAGTACTCTTCGAAACAAAAGTACATTCCTGAGTTGATTTGATTGTTTTCTCCCATCAGGGAATAATTTTCAACTGTTCGATATAAGTCCACCTGGTCGAAATCAGTCACAAAGCCAACTGGCAGTGAAGCATCCTTCTTCATTGTCTTCTACCGGGTAACAAATCAATTGCCTAAAGCACCTAGGTAACGAGTACTCTATAAAACAGAAGAGGCTATTGCAATTCGCCTGAAACAACTGGTGCTCTGTGTGTATGCAGAAGAAACAGGTCTTGGCCTGATGTGGAGCTTGCAAATTCATAAATATCTTATCACATCGGCCTTTTTTGATAGTGCCTTCCATCCGGTATATATATATATATATATAATTGCCCCTACCCCTGGCATTCACTAGCCTTTTGTTTTCTTATTTAGGTACAGTCGTTAACTTACACATTGACACAAATAAAACGCACACAAAATTCAGCCCCAAAAACCCTTCTTGCTCTACCCTCGTCGTTGACATGATCACTCATCCATCTGAAGTTTATAATCAACATCCGAGTGACTTCCGAACTCCAATGGAATAACAAACTCGGTTTCCTCGATATTACAATGACCAGGAGAGATGATGGTACGATTCAGAGATCTATTTTTTGTAAACAGACATCGAGTAGACAATATCTTCATTTTACCAGTTTTGTTCCTGTCCAGTATAAACGTTCCCTAATGAAATCTTTGTTCTCAAGGGCCTGAAAAATATGCACGAGTGACAAATTGATGGATGAGTTTCGACATATACATTCAGTTTTATTAGCTAATAATTATCCAGAAAACTTTTTCCATTGTCACATCAAGGAGAGACCATATGTAGAAACGACAGCTTCGGTACCAAAGAAAGCCGTCTTTATTAACCTACCATTCAAGGGTGATCAGATTATGCAGTTGACAGCTAGCTCAAAGACTTCGGTCAGCCATCAAAAGCACATTTTACGCCGCATCTCTTTTTCTCATTTGCCGAATATTTTCGACCCCTGTGCCTATTATTAAAGGACGAAATTCTGTGGACTCTACTTCAAACTGTATCTACAAGTTCACCTGCAGCTGCGGTGACACCTATATAGGTAGAACCAACAGAATGTTCCAATGTCGTCGGAAAGAACATGTTCCAAAATGGTTACTAAATCATATAGAAAATCCCAATGCTAGTAATCTGAATAGAAATCCAGCATCATCCATTGCAAAACACTTATTAATGTCAGGTCACAAAATAAATATTAATGACTGTTTTACAATTATTTCACATAACTCTAATTCAAGGTTATTGAAGGTGATGGAAGCACTTTGGATTAATCACATACAGCCTAAACTGTGTGTACAAAAATCAATAGACTTCAATCTTCGCCTACCCTGGACAACTTGACCTATCTAAATATGATTGGTCATTAGTATGTACTTTTGTTTTTTTTATTTAAATGAGTAATTGTCATGAACTTTATTTTATTATTGTTAACCATGTTAGTTGTAAAGCGGTTGTAAAGAAACTACGAAATGATATGATCTCGCGAAATTTGTCTCCTTAATGCCTCATTCAAATTTATCAAAGGGACTAATTGTTTTAATAGGAAGAGAATTTAATAGTGTGAAATATTCCCATATGAGGAATTAAAAGTCAATCTGAACGAAGAATAATATTTTCAATAATTTCTCCTCTTTAGGTTCTTACAATTATAAAATATAATAGCCAGTTATGCGACGGATACACTTTTACGTAGAATAACAGATTGGTTATGAGGTGTCAAAATTCATAAAAGTATTTGTGTGACAAACGTCGTGCTAGGCTGAAATCGATTACAAAATATTTCGATGAAATGGGAAACAATGGTGGTGATTAATCATAATAGATTTGTAGAGTGTGGGATAGGAAAATTGACAAATAAGTTAGTTCAAGGTTATAAAAGGTGTCAGGTGAGTGAGTGGCTAGTACAAAGTGGTGTGACATTGTGATAGAATCGAGCTTTTTATGCACTTAATTTCCTCCACCCTGCTGAACCAAGCTGGTAAATGTTCTCAAACCCGTAGACGAACCTGCATAACCACAGGAACAGTTGAAATGGTATATGCATGAAGAAGAGCTGTCACACTTGGTCTGTACTGGACATAGCATCGATGTCAACACAACGTTCAGGGTTATATACCGAATTCCGAAGTCGTTGTCACGTACAGTTCGCTTACGTCTCCTACACATAGCTGAAGCTGTTGCAAGAAGATTGACTAAACTGGAACTTTGTATGCAAAAGAACACGTACAGACGCTGTTCCTACCGTGGCCAAACTTGGATTAACGATTCTTCTTCTCACCAAGGGTGCTTCTTCTCCTTAACCCTTTTGGTTTTGTTCTTTGCTTATTAATACAATTATTGTTCAAGGTCAAAATAACAATGAAGACCACTAAACCAAATAACAGAGGTAATAGTACATCTGCTACGGTATCAAAACAAAATTTACCAAGGAAGGTTTAATGTGATGACGAATTGTTTTTGAACGCATAAAGGTGGTGTTTGGGGCGTATCCTAAAGTTTGTGGAAGCCCAAGCAATTAGAAAGTTTAAACCACCTTTATGCATTCAAAAACAATTATTGTTATTCGTCATAATTTATACCCTTCATTGAAATATTCTCTCAATATTATTGAATTTTCTATTTATACTATCCGGACTCATTATTAGTGATATTATCGCTTTTCTCTCAATAGATATGCCTCCACCTGTTTCATTTCACACATACGTTATTTCTTTATGAACCTCTCATTGCAGTCTTACTATCTTCTCCTCTTTAATACATACCACTTTGTACTAGCCACTCACCTGTCACCTTTTATAACCTTGAACTGACTTATTTGTCAATTTTCCTACCCCACACTCTACAAATCTATTATGACTAATCACCACCATTGTCCCCCATTTCACCGAAATATTTTTCGTAATCGATTTCAGCCTAGCACGTTTGTCATACAAATACGACTATTTATTTTGACAACAAATATTATGTTTTCCAATAGTAAGAACCTGAAGAGGAGAAATTATTTTTCGTTCAGACTGACTTTCAATTCATGAATTTGAATTTATGCCTATATATTCATTGTCATTCGTAATCATTCACTTTGCATGATTGGTGTTCAATTTAGTATTACAAATATATATATTACCAATTACATATATTTTGGACTATAGTCTATTAGTTGGTAGAGACTGCGTTTGTTTTAGGTGAGATTGCGGATTGATATCAGTTAGAGAACCACTGGAAAACCACTTGGGAGTACTGGACAGTTAGCTGTTTTGTCAGCCTACTTTGGGATTCATCGGCAGTACGCACCCACAACCAGGGTTCGATTCAAGAACCTTCTGGTTACAAGGCAAGCTCGTATACCTGATTCAATGGCGAGTTCATGAATTCTAACTGTTTCCAATTCGTGATTTTAGCACGACCACCATTGTGGTCCATTGGATAATGTGACAGAGATCGGGTAGCGAGGAAACAGTCATAAAATGGACCCTCACGGAAAACTTGGAGGATCTGGACTTCACCGATGACATATATCTGATTCCCCACAAACTCGAAGATGTACAAGTGAAAAGCAACAAGTTGGCAGAAGAAGCATCAAAGATAGGACTCCAAGTAAGCAAAGAGGAAACATAGGTGATGAAGATTCCTTAGCAACAACAACAGCAACAGCAACAACAGCAGACAACAATCAGCATAAATAGGAGGAATCTGATAGAAGCCACCTCCTTTACATACCTGGAAAGCATCGTTTCAACTATGGGTGGAACTGACGAGAATATCAAAGCAAGAATTGGAAAAGTAAGACAAGCTTTCATTAACCTCAAGTCTGTATGGAGGTCAACAATATTCAGCACCAAAAATAAGATCCGAATTTTCAACTCCAATGTGAAGTCAGTCGGTGCTACTATACGGATCAGAGACTTGCACTGCGCGTCATAAAGAGCATCTCAAACAAACTACAGAGCTTCATTGACAGCTAGCTGTCTTCGCTCAATACTCAAGATCAGATGGCCGTGCAGAAAAGATCAGCAACAGAGATCTCTGGCAATGAGCGAACCAACACAGCAGGAACCGATTGTGAAACAAATAATCAGGACGAAATGGAGATGGATTGGCTGGCCATACTCTGAGGAAACAAACCATCAGGTGACATCACTTGACAAGCCATTGCTCGAGTGGAACCCGAAAGGGAAGTGGCGAGTTGGTCGTCAGTGCAAGGGTGAGGGTGACTTGGAGGAGGTCATGTGAAGAGGAGATGAAAACGTGTGGGCAGACATGGAGCCAGTTGAAGACTAGCAGGGAACAGAACGCAATGGAGACGTTTGGCTGAAGCCCTATGTTCCTGTAGGAATTAAAGGAAATAATAATAATAGAAACCACAACACTATTGTTAACGACGACTTTTCTAGAATACTTTGTGCACGAAATCATATATATAATTCTAGACCCAGAAGAGAAAATTCTCGGAAAAGATATTCTATGATCAGTTTTTGGTTTTCTCTAGATGTCTGATTGAATATTTTCGGTATACTGAAATTATAAATGTTTAAACTGACTCATCAGCCTAATCGATGTATAGTTTGTTTAAGTCGTATTGGAACCAACATCAGTGCGTGATACACGAATACACTCAGCTAGCGAATCAAGAATTCTACGCGACATAGCCCTCGTAGACTTTAATGGCAGTTAATACTGATGTTTAAGTGCACATTAATTTTGAGAATTGATTAAGATAACCAACAAACAAACAGCAACAAGCACCTATCACTATAAACGATAGGAATTCAAAAGGGACTATTTCTTTCGCTTATTTAGGCAGCATGGATCAGAATCTCAAAGGAAAGATCATAAAAGCGAGTGTCAGACTCTCATTATTCTTAAGTTATTTTGTTGAAATCTGCTGAACTGAGAATGAAGAACAAACCATTTCGAAGTTAGTCAGTGCCTCTGTATGATTCAAGGGCTTTTGGAACACATGTCATGAAAAGCATTTCTATTAGACTGTTGCTGAATTTCATCAACAACCAACTTGATACTTATTTATTATTATTATTCCCTTGAGTTCCTAGTGGAACATAGGGCTTCAACTGCACGTCTCCTCTTGCTTCTGTCTTCTGCTGTACTTTTCACCTGAATCCATGTTAGTCCATACTGTTTCAACTCTTCTTCACACGATCTCCTCCATGTCACCCTTGCACGTTCCACTCGCCGCTTCCCTTTTTGAATTCCACTCCAGCGTTGGCCTGACGCGCGATGTCACCCAACGGCCTCCTCAACGAGTGTCCAATCCATCTCCACTTTCTCCCGCATATTTGTTGGGCGATTGGTTGTTGTTTTGTTTGTTCCCATAGTTTCTTGTTTGTGATTCTTTCCGGCGGCCATCTGATCTTGAGTATAGAACGAAGACAGTTGATGATAAAGATCTGCAACAGGCTGTTGGAAATATTCTTTGTGACCCGCCAAGTTTCTGATCCGTATAGAAGAACTGACTGACTTGACGTTTGTATTGAAAATCCGAATTTTGTTGTTGATGGTGAGTGACGAAGATTTCCAGATTGGTTTCAGGTTGATGAATGTGTTTCTCGCCTTCCCGATTCTCGACTTGACATCTTCGTCCGTTCCTCCTGTAATTGAGACAATGCTCCCTAGATACTTGATATTAACGATCAGGTAACCGGAAAGGAAGAGTAACAGGGAATTCCAGGAATGAATCCCTTAAGAGCCTGTTTTCCAACAAATAAGTTGACAAAAATGGGGATGGATTAGACACACGCGCCAGGTTATCATTCGGCTGCACGACGAGTTAGATGTGTGTCTGAGGATGACATGGATCAGATTCTGTTAGTAAAGGGTGAGATATGAGTTTATGGATAATCGTGGAACCAGCTTTACAGGACTGTGGAAACCAAGATGAAACGAAGATGTACTATTGAAATTCTAAGTTCCACTGAGAATCAAAGTAAAAAAATAATAAAATATGATTTTAGAGGTATTGGAATTAACAAGCATTAAATATATTTTAGATATTTTCATCATTCTTACCTGACACTTATCAGCAGTTTCAAGTCGAGTTGATTCAAGGAATGCAGCAGATCCTAAACGCCATTGATTTCGATGTGTAATCAGGATGGAACAAGGGGACACATTATTGTGAAATAATGATTGACCAGTGTGCAGAAATCGTAATATTTGTGTTAGCTTGAAAAATACAAAAGGGGAAAAAGAAGAAAACGATGTTACTAGGTTGAAAATTGATGTGCCTCAAAATAGCCTCAATTCTGAGAATAAAGGAAAATCATACTCATGGGAGTTATAAGATATGATAGTGTGAAATATTCCCATATCATGAATCAAAAGTCAATGTGAACGAAGAATATTCTTTTCAATAATTTCTCTTCAGCAAGGGGGAAATTAAGTGCATAAACTGCTCGATCCCGTCACACTTGGTCGATACTGAACATAGAAACGAAATTTTCACAGCCTTCAGGGTTATATACCGAATTACGAAGTCGTTATCACGTGCAGTTTGCTTACGTCTGCTACACATAGTTGAACGTGTTGCAATAAGATTGACTAAACTGGAACTTTGTATGCAAAAAGAACACGTACAGACTCTGTTCCTACCGTGACCAAACTTGGATTGATGATTCCTCTTCTCATCAAGAGTGCTTCTTCCCCTTAACCCTCGTGGTTTTTTCCCTTTGCTTATTATTACAATTATTATTATTCGTCATAATTTATACCCTTCATTCAAACATTCTCTCAATACTATGGAATTTTCCATTTATACTATCCGGACTTATTATTAGTGATATCATCTCTCTGCACAATATATGCCTCCACCTGTTTGATTTCACAACATATTGGATATTTCATGATGAACCTCTCATTGCAGTCTAAATATCTCCTCCTCTTTAATACATACCACTTTGTATTAGCCACTCATTCACCCGACCGTTTTTATAACCTTGAAATGTATTATGACTAATCACCACCATTGTCTCCAATTTTACAATATTTTTGATGGATGTCAGCTTAGCACGTTTGTCACACAAATACCACTATTTATTTTGACATCTCATAACGACTCTGTTATTCTACTTTAAAAACGCATTCTCCGCCTAACTGGCCATTATTGTAACGCCAACAAATATTATATTTTATAATTGTAAGAACCTGAAGAGAAGGATGTATTGAAAAGAATATTCTTCGTTCAGAAAATCATACTTTCAAGGATTATTAAATTATACTCAAATTTTGCGTAGTGACATCTTGTATCAAAGGAAATTATGAAGAAAATAAAAGACAATTCAGAGAAGAAAATTCCTTTTTTTTGGCGAAATCATCTTGTACGTTTTTTCACCCTCTTCACATTTGTTAAATGGACACTCAGCTACCTTTCTTCCCAATCAAGGACAATTTTAACCTTATCAAATTTCTAGCGCTTTCTTCCTATGTGCCGTCGAATATTACGTAATTTATAACTTTTAATAAAGCAAGAAAAACAGTTTTCGTAGAATAATATGGTACTATCATAGTTTATTTGGTTGAATTCGCACCCGCCGCTTACAGACTAAATAAACCATCATTAAGCTAATGCATCCAGCGCCAATCACCATCAACGGGAGGGATTTGACAGAGGTTATTTCTTTCACTTATCTAAGAAGCATTGTCTCAACTACAGGCAGGTGGAACGGACGAGGATGTCGAATCGAGAATCGGGAAGGCGACAAACACATTCATCAACCTCAAACCAATCTGGAAATCTTCGTCACTCACCATCAACAACAAAATTCGGATTTTCAATACAAACGTCAAGTCAATACTTCTATACAGATCAGAAACTTGGCGGAAGGTCACAAAAAATATTTACAACAACTGTCTTGCTATATACTGAAGATCAGATGGCCGGAAAGAATCACCAACAAGAAGCTATGGGAAGAAACAAAACAAGAACCAATCGCTCAACAAATATGCAAGAGAAAGTGGAGATGGATTGAACAATCGCTGGGGAGGCCGCCGGGTGACATCGCGCGTCAGGCCATAGCTCGAGTGGAACCCGAAAGGGAAGCGGCGAGTGGGACGTCCAAGTGTGACATGGAGAAGATCGTGTGAAGAGGAGTTGAAACAGTATGGATTAACATGGATGCAAGTGATAAGTACGGTAGAAGACAGAAGCAAGTGGAGACGTGCAGTTGAAGCCCTATGTTCCACTAGGAACTCAAGGGAACAATAATAATAATAAGCTTATGCACAGAAAAGTCTTAACACAGTTGCAAATTTCACATGATGTCAGTTGACAGGAGGTTATGAACTTAATGAACAATGCTCAGGAAATTACACTTATACAGTTTTGCACACGCAGTTCAAGTTTTATGCGAAGTAAATGTATGCATACATTGGTGAAGTAGTTATGTGATAAAGACGATAGGTGCGGAAGATGATGAGTGACTAATAAATTGGGTGACAGTGTACTGAGTTGAACTTAAGTCATAGAAACAAGAGATAAGCACAACTACATTATATCAAAGGGTGGGGCTGAGTATCAAGCCAAAGACTACGTAGGCAAATGAAGGAGCGAGTAAGGACATCCAGTTATCATGGTGGATAAGGAAGGACTGATAACTGCTTCTTTCTGAACACATCAATCAGGTTTCATGCGTTTGATAGAAATTACTTCGGCAAACTTGACTTCAACTAGGTATAAAAATTTACGCGTATCTGCGGAAGCAGTTACAGTGGAGAATAGAAAGAATGGCACACCTCCGGTTTTCTGAACATGTACCCAAAAGCCTACATCTCAAGGGAACAAACGCTTATAATAGTACCACTCCCAGGCATCTCCTTGATATTGGTCATGATATGGAAATCTCGAAATCTTTTGAAATTATCAGTCAACTGTAACAGATCAATTCTCCTTAAATTTTAACATTGACCTTAAAAACAGGATTTATTGCTTATAATCGTTTCATATAGGTTATTTATTATTAATGTTTCCTTTAATTCCTAGAGGAACATGGCGTTCGGTTTTCTGCTAGAGTCTTCACCTGGCTCCAAGTCTGCCCACACGCTTTCATCTCCTCTTCACATGACCTCCTCCAAGTCACCCTCACCCTTGCACTGACGACCAACTCGCCGCTTCCCCTTCGGCCGGGTTCCACTCGAGCAATGGCTTGTCTAGTGATGTCACTTGATGGTTTCCTAATAGTATGGCCAATCCATCTCCATTTCTTCCTGCCTATTTGTTTCACAATCGGTTCCTGCTGTGTTGGTTCGCTCATTGCCAGAGATCCCTCTCTGTTGCTGATCTGGCCGGCCATCTGATTTTGAGCAGTATTGAGCGAAGACAACTGTTAATGAAGGTCTGCAGTTTGTTTCAGATACTCTTTATGACGCGCAGTGCAAGTCTCTGATCCGTATAGTGAGTAGCACTGACTTCACATTGGAGTTGAAAATCCGGATCTTATTTTAGATGCTGAGTGCTGTTGACTTCCACACAGACTTGAGAGTAGAGAAAGCTTGTCTTGCTTTCCCGATTCTTGCTTTGATATCCTCGTCAGTTCCGTTGGCCTGTAGTTGAAACGATGCTTCCCAGGTAGGTACAAGCGGTTGTTTCTTTCAGGTTCCTCTCATTTATTCTGATCGTTTTCGGTTGTTGTTGTTGTATTACAAGTGGTGAATAGTGTACACGCTTATACATCGGTGCAGAAATTTGGAAGAATCGGTGGTGTTAAAATAAGTCTTCTATTTTCAATGTCTTATGTCACTTGAATTATTCGAAGCGGTAATTACACATTTGTCGTCAGTAGTGTTCCCTTTAGTGTGACCTCGTCACTTCCGTCCGCCTGTAGTTGAAACGATGCTTCCTTGGTCGGTGGGTAAAAGAGGTTGTTTCTTTCAGGTTCCTTCCATTTATGCTGATTGTTGTCTGTTGTTGTTGTTCTTGTCCAGGAATCTTCATCACCTCTGTTTTCTCTATATTCACCTGAAGTCTTTCCTATCTTTGATGCTTCTTCTGCCAACTTGTTGCTTTTCGCTTGCATATCTTTCAGTTTGTGGGAAATCAGACATATACCATCGGCGAAGTCCAGATCCTCACATAGGTTTTGAGGAACCAAATGAGAAACAATGAGCTGAAATTCTTATGGTAAAATCAAGAGGCCCTAAGAAAGCCGGGTCACAGGGATAGTGGAGAGGCGATGTGTAATGAACATCTGCACCTGAGTCTAAAATTATTCGTTTTTTATGCAAAAGTCAACAAGCTAACTCTTTCACTAATCAAACGACAATAATAAAAGTTTGATAGATTAGTATCCCAATTTGTACTACTCAAATACTTACCTGATAAATCCCAAGTTTTCGATCCATGTCAGTGAATCTAAATGTCTGTTAGATTGGGAAAAAACAGGAATACACATAAGGAACTCGGTTAAGGGAAAGGAAATTATTGTAAGAGATCAATATTTAAAAATTAGGATGATTTGATCAAACTCTCCTAGCTGAATGGAATCTAAGGTGGTGGGAAGCAACCGAAGCAGATCAATCAGTATTTAAATCACTTAACTGCATCATTATTGTCTAAGATGAGAGGTTTCCGTTGACAAAACAAAGTGTCTGTTTCATTCCCAAGCGTTTCAAGCGGAACAAACGGCGTCAAGCTTCGAATTTTCTGTAGCGGTGAATGTTTTTTTAAGTGTAGGGTTGCTAGGCTCACAACTTCTCTCCTTCTCAGAGTATATCACCAGCTTAACAAGATTCGAGAGTGAGTCACCTGGGAATCGAACAGTGAGAATAGTGATCTTAACTTTGATAGCATGACATTCTCATCATTACTGAACGTCGCTTTCTTGAATTTATTTCATTTATACATCATTTTATGCAAGTTCTCATCTTCTTCTCACAAGATCTCCTGCATGTCTTCCTCAGACTAAATCCCACCTCATCGTTTTTTTCACTCGATCGATGGCTTGGCGCGTGACGTCACTCAACGGTCATCCCAATAGACTCTCTACCGACTGTTCGTTGCCAGCTTACCTTGTTGCTTATAAAAATCTGACCGGAAAACTTATCTTCAGTATAGTGTAACCGAAGGAAGCTACTGCAAAATGTCTGACGACTGTTCGAAATGATTTTGATTACCTGAAAGTTAGATCCCAATGGTCAGTACAGTAGAATTTCACGTTTATTTATTTCAGAATAATGAAAGCGTGTCTCTCCTTTCCCATCCTTTCTTTGAAATTCTGTTCCGTGTAGCCAGTATCCAAGTCAGCTGTGTCTTCTCTCTGTCCATTTGATGTCCTTCCTGCCTTTGTCACTCATTATCTTATCACTTCATAAATGAGTGTGGCGCAAAACACCTAGTGATTTTTAAGTCAAGTGTACTTACTATAAAGCGCTTATCAACACTCAGTTATCCTAAAAGAAGAGCAATTTAGTCTAAAGTCATCACACTGTTAAGTACTTGATACAGGTGTTGTTTTAGGGGTCTATCTTGAGAACACTTTGACTTGCTTCAACTATAGGTTCCTCTTATGCTTGCATCATTGAAAAATGAATGCAAATAATTCATTTTCGTTTTTCATTTTGAATTAATGACTCTATATTACTGATAATCTGGAGAAATGAGTAGTTAAATGCAACTCACATCAACCGGTAGTGTTTGTTAGCCAAATCGTGGTGATCTTCACACCAGAAGTTCGTTTTGCCCATCGGTATACCCAACAATCACTTAAAAAATAACAGGAATTCTGACTATCTACTTCGTCGAAAGAGTGATGTTAGGATCACTTTGGTCTGATCATCAACAGTTACTAGTAAATGTGCTTGGTGTTCAATCGATCTGCAATTGCGTCTACATACTTATTGGGTAACATATTCTTTGTTGTTGGATTAACTGCTGCTCATCTGTTCTGGATGACCATCTGACGTTCACAGTGTGCAACCAGCAAAAGGATGTCAATTAAGGTTTGAAGCCTGCTTTGAAGTGCTTTCCGTAACTACTCATGAAGTCTCCGAAGCATTTGGAAGCAATGACTGACTTGACATTAGTGCTGAAAATGTGATTCCTCTTCTTTATGTTTAGAGCAGTAGATTTCCACACTGATTTCAAAGGAAAGAATGCCAATGGCATCCTCATTCATTCTGCCTGTAGTTGAAAAAGATGCTTCTGACCTAGTTGAAATTGCTCTCGCTGACAGAGATTGGTGCTTGTTGTTGCTAGTCGGTGGGTGTCTTCATCACTCCTGTTTTCTCTATGTTCCTTTGTGGTCCTATTTTGTCTGGTCACCGTGCTAAGTAGCTAGTTTCCGGCTTTAGATCTCCGGGTTTGTATGATATTAGACATAAATCGTGCGAGAAGTTCAGATCTTCTACACACCTTCTGTCCGTTCAGCGTATGCCTGTCTTCTCACTTCTCATAGCCTGATGAATGATGCAGTCCACTACAATATTTTATTTTATTTATTATTCCATTGGGTTCCGAATGAAAAATAGGGTTTTAACAACACATATGAACTGTGTTCAATTTTCTGCTGTCCTTTTCATCTGGCTAGCTCAACGATTGCCCATAATCTCTCATCTCCTCTGACTCGCATGATCTCCACCATGTCACCCTCGCACTCATGACCTAATCGCCTCTTCCAACTTCCATTGCTCTCAATGTCATTCGACGATCTCCTCAACGTATGTCAGATCCATCTCTACTTTCTCCTACTTATTTGTTGACCAATCGGCTCTCGCCTGTTAGTTTGTTCCCAGGCAGAGTTTTTTGTCGTTAGTTTTCTCTGGCCTGCAGTCCATTTGAGCCAGTGACTGTGGTAGCTGTTGATGAAAGCCTATAACCTGTTGATAATGCTTTTCGTGATACTCTGGCCAAGTTTCTGACCAACATGGAAGAACTGACTGGCTTCACATTAGTGCTGAAAATCCGAATCTTGTTCGGTATGCTGCTGAGTGACGGCAGAAGATTTCCGAACAGGTTGATAAAGGCGTATCTTGCCATTCTCATTATGGCTGTCTGGTGTTGACATCTTCATCTTTCTGTTGGTTTGTAGGGATTTGATTGATTACAGGATTTTCATTATGAGCTGACATTAGTTACAACATTTCGTCTGTGCTCTTCATCAGTACGACCAACGGGGTCGAACCGATTTCTGGTTCAAGGAGCTATACGACTAATGTTCCCTATCTACTGATAGCAAGTCGCTAGTGAGCATCTCATTGATATTAAGTTTGCTTCGTAGCTGGATAGGTGAAGGAGGTGACCTCTGTCAAATCTTTCCTGTTGATGGTGATTGGTGCTGGTAGTTGCTGCTGTTGTTGGGTTGGTTAGTTATCTTAATCACCTCCATCTACTCTGTGTTCACCTTCAGTCCTGTCTCTGCTGTTTGCCAGCCTCTTCAGCCAGTTTTTTTATATTTTTGCCTGTAAGTCTTCGACTTTACGTGACACTAAACATAATCATCCACATGCGAAATCCAGATCTTCTGGATTAGTTTTACTCTGAACAGTGTTTATATAATGTACAGAATTTAAAGTGGAGTTTATTGCTTTCTATTTACTCTTCGTCCAGGATGTCCGAATAAAAGATTGACCGACAGCAGATCGTTTGACATAGTTCTGTCTGACGTGAAATACAAAACCAATCCATTATAACGATATCTCCTCCTTTTCCTCTTTCGAGAAATACATGACGACATTTCTTTAAATGTCACTTACAAAACTTTCAGGAGTAGTACAATTTGTGAATCAAGGGCAGCACTCAGGAAGTTGACGGTAGCTCAAGTTTTAAGCAGGCTTCCCTCTACTGAAATTTCAAAAAGTACCCATCTGAAGCCTTATATTGTAGTGGGGACTCAAAAAGAAATAAAGTAATAGTCATGATAATATTAAAAGAATAAAGACTTACTTTAAGGTTTTGAATTGTTGCCGATTGTAATCTGGTATAATTGCCCAGGATATTAGCCAGGCTTGCATATACACGTTCACTTGCAAATGCCAATGTTTCACTAAAATAGAGGAAACACAAAAACAAACACACAGCGAAATCAGTTACTGTTCGACAGTGGTGGAGAAGTGTTTCAGTGACAAATTAAAGCCTACTCAACTCTATCGCATACGAACTGGAGATATATTGAGTAAGGTATTGTAGTCCTTCAAAAACACTCTGATCAAAAATAAATGCCAACCTACTGCCTCATTGAAACACGTTTATAAAGAAAGATAAAGACTCCAAGAAATCTAGATATACCCAAGGAATAACTATTTGTAAATTGGAAATTCATTGGAGATACAATCCGTGAAGTTCTCCAAAGCCGTCTGTTGACGATGATTCGAAGAATATTCTTAGCTGAATCACTCTCCTTTACTGTTGGCGAATTTAATGTGCATTCGTCATTTCATTTGCTCCTAAGGAGGTAAGTACATAGACAGTGCCAGCAGGAAATAGACTGTCTGGACAGCCGTATGAACACTCAACAGCATGGTTATCGACAACCGCTTGGTTCTGGAGCATGTAATGGCTTCCTGTCAAGCAGTATCAGCGCAGACTTCATTCAGGAGTCAGATATAAAGTACAATCACATAGTCCACAAACATATTTTGCTTAAATCGTAATCAGTATGGCTCAAGCTATAGCAATCTATTAGGAAAAACCCGGACTTTCTGTTCAAAAACGTTTCAGTTAATCCTGTTTTACTGTTATGGATTTCGTAGCAGTTTCATCTTTCTGGACTGTCACATAATTAACTTTATGTAGTCCTTTCAGTTTTTTTATACCCATTTTCATTCTTTTGTCCTCATTTACAATGGGCGTATGATCAGTCAAGTTCATCATCGAATTCCTGAACATTTCCTCCTATCTTGGCTTGTCATAGGTTCAAATACTCAGGCCATAAGTAGCTCAATACGAACTCATCACATCACTGATACTGGACATCAAGTTGACTCTAATAAAGCTTTCAGAGTTATCTATCACACTTCACCCAACTCAACTCGCTTTCTCTAAGAGTACGACTTTTACGTGTACAGCAGAGGATATCGGAATTCATCGGAACAAGCCAAATCCATGTGTATATTCAAAAGAAATTTGTACATAATATGTATGAAGTTTTATAAACGATTTTTCACCTTTGAACCTGTCATCTTATTATGTTTACGATTCTAGCTAATTTCATTAGCTTATTCGTATTTTGCGTAATTCTACTGAGTCATCCTATTCTTCTTAGTCATCATTATTATACAAATCTCTTGGTTATGTAATAGCTTGTTGCTAATTTTGTACGAATTAACTTATTCAGAACAAAATATTTAGAGCGAACAATTGTTTTCAATAAATTCTTCTTTAGGCTCTACAATTATAAATCCATTAATTTAAGCATACAATAGCCAGTCAGTAAAGGCAAATTAGAATCATATCAGAAAGTGTATTGTGGGACAAGTAAAAGATGGAATGGAACAATAGTCAGATAGTTTTTTTAATATGCATGGTCAATGAGAACATGGGACAAAATGAGATGAAGTAATTTAATTTAATGATGTGTTTATTTATATATATAAATATAGTCAACAGAAAATACAAGTTTCGAGAGTGTGTGTAATCAGGGTGTGTGAGACAATATGAAAATAAACCCAACGAATGGGGCGGACTAGACATAAGTTCAAGGTTGAAAATAACGACAGTAAGAATGATTGTAAAATAATAACGATGATATCGTGTAAAATCAGAAGCACTATTGGTGAATGATTGTCAAATAAGAATAATGAATATAATGAAGTGGAATGAACAGGATTTTGTAAATACGATAGCAAGTTAGAAAAGCACTATTTAAACCCAAGGTAATAAAATCATAAGAAAGGTCATGAAATCATAAAAGTCGAAAATGAACGATTGTCAGTGAAACAGAGGAATAGAAGAAGAAGAAGAAAGGAAAAGAAAATTGTGAAAGGAATTTATAGTGTTAATGGGGGATTTGTTGGCTTTATGGTAGGCCAAGGTAAACATAGTGGTTGAACATACTTCTTCTGTATGCAAAGAGATGGTCTTCTGGTATTAATTGCCACCGCTTCAGCTACTGATAGAAGACGCAGTCGAGCTCCTCTAGATAAACTGCTAGGAAAGTGGTAAGTAACTGAGAACGCCTGGTCAAGTTTTATAGGGTGTCCAGTATCTACCAAGTGGGCTAAGACTGCACTATTTACGCATTTGGTTACCCCTTTACTCAACCATATAGTTACATGTTCACGCGCGCGCATGGATAAAGCCCTCTGAGTATGGCCAATGTAACTAGCTCCACATGAGCAGTTGAATTCGTAGATGCACATTGATGAGGCCATCTTCGGTTATTTATCCTTTACTTGCTGTGTGAGTACTGGTTTAGTTGAGAAGTTGAGTACCAGTTTAGATGCAAGAAATGTTCTCTCTACTGCTCTATCAAGTCGACATTTTAGAATGTCAGCTGCAATTTCCCCTTTGTAACTTAACTTAAGATACAAAGATTTCTTTTCTACGGTATCCACCTTTACCTTGTCTGTAGGTATTGACATATGCTTTTTTAGGAAGCTCTGTGGATATCCATTTTCTTGTAGTGTGAGTTTCAGTTTATGCATTTCTTCCTTTATGCATTCATCTGAACATATACGTTTTATTCTATAGCTTAGACACTTAACTAAGTTTCTTTTGTACTGAATCGGTGTGAAGCTATCGAAATGGGTGTACTGACCAGTTCAAGTTTTCTTTCTAAATAATTTCCTTTGCAGATACACGTCTGTCTTCATGGTAAGGAGGACGCCTAGGAAAGGTAAACTGTTATTGTCTTCTTCTTCGAATGTAAACTGAATAGTTGGGTGAACACTATTAACAGCATTCAGAAGCTCTTGTTTATCAAGATTTATATCACAAACGATAAAGGTATCATCTACGTATCGACAATAATAAATAGTCAAACCCTTTAATCGTGTCTTTAAGTGGACCATTTTCAAGCTTTGCCAGGAGAATATCCGCTAGCATAGGGCCCAGAGGTGATCCTATGGCTACACCATCAACTTGTCTATAAAAACCATTATTGAACATAAACTGAACATTCATAGTGCATTTCAATAATAATTCTTTGACTTTTTCGGATGGGATTCCTTCAATTCTGTAGTTGCTCGATTTTCACTTCTCCTGTAAGACTTAGATATTTTGATACTAAGATGTATTGGTTAATTGTTTTGATTACTTTTAACCTCTTAATTTCACCGTACCCTATATCTGGAACTGATGGACTAAAATAACCACCTGGTTCATAAAATTTTAATGTGAAAAAACTCAATGATAGTAAGTAGTAGATGATGAGGAACTAATTGAAAAAAATTCATATTTCTTCACTCAATTTGTTCTTTTTTTCTAAATGTGTAAATAGGAGTTTAAAAATTAGATTATTCAGATAATTAATTATCAACCCTCTCGATTGCATACGCTTTATTATTATTATTATTCCCTTGGGTTCAGAGTGAAAAATACGACTTCAACAACACATCTCCACTTTGTTCAGTTTTGTGCTGTCCCCGTCAGCTGTGTCCCCAATTGTCCTTAATCTCTCGTCTCCTCCAAATCATGCGATCTCATCCATGTCACCCTCGCCCTGACGAACCAGTCTTCGCTTCTCATTGGAATTTCACTCGAGCGATGGCATTAGTTGCGCTCGATGTCATTCGACGGCCTCCTCATCGTATAACAAATCCACCTCCATTTTCTCCTACATATTTTTGAAGCTCTGTAGAGTTTCTCCTTGTTAATTCTATCTTCCTTTGCGTAAGATATTTCAATATTTTTAACATCTTAAATTCTTTTTGTTACTGACTTACAGTTACCATTATACTGATAAAACCCCTGAATAATTGTACTGATTCGAACAGAAGTTGGCAGAATGTACATCTTTGCTCGCTCATGTGTTTCTGATTACATAACATGGTAATTTTACATATCACCTAACTATAATTATATTAATAGTGATAGGCACTTTATTCCAAACAGTAATAATTATATTTTCTAGAGTTAATTTATAAGGATCAGGTTTGTTTTTCGAGTTTGACGGCAGACTGATAGCAGACTGAAATCCAGGTGGGAGGACTGGCAGTCGTCTGTTTCGTCAATCTAGTTTGGGAATCGCTAGCAGTATGCAACCACTGGGTCTCGCAGTCAGGACCTTTCGGTTACAAGGCAAGCCAGTGCACCATTCAGCCACTGGGACCCGATTCAATGGACCATGAATTCTAATATTAATTACACTGAATGGAATTTTCAGCGCCTTTATACATATTGAATTAATTTTGCCCCATTTATAAATTTATAAGGTTTTAAAAATAATAGAACCACAAGAACTGAAAGTTAGGGGAAAATAATGAACTACAGATAAATAATCTAATAAAAAAAATTAATTTCAAAATAATAGTCTTTGTTTATACTTTACAGTCCAGCTAATGATTTGGAAAGTTTATAAGTTCTCTTCTGACGTCTGACTCTGTCTTCACACAAAACCCATTCGAAATATGCTATTGTAGAATTTTCATATTTTGTAGCTGTATGAGCATGAGTCCTGATGAAAATATTTTCTGGTTTTACCCAAAGAGATGCAAGGAAAAATAGTTACGAAAAATGAGAAGGATGTTCAGCATCAGACAAGATGATGTAAGCCAACTGCTTGCACGAATTGAAGCGTCTATCCACCACAGCAACCGTAGCAGTAAGACAAATCACTAACTCTGCCTACTGTTTACAGTGTTCTGCATACTATGATATAGATATGATGGAGAAGATTTGTAGCTCAGGTGGGTGATTTTGATGTGGTTGTGTTCTCTGAGCTGGATAGTTAATTTGCGAGGCTTTCATCGCCCTACCAGCCAACATCTTCAGCGCATACTTCAATTTGAAGTGAGCTTTTAGATTTCTCCACGAGTTTATTAATCATCTCTCCCGGTGACCTTCGACGCGACTGGTTGTTTTTGTTTGTTTTCACACCTTCCAGGC